GATAATGAATATAATAATATTTATAATACATTGATAACGAATTCATCTAGCATGAATTTATTATTGGTAATGAATATTACAATATTTACAATACATTAACAATGAGTATACCCAACATGAATTGATTGATATTGAATATAATAATATTTAAAATACATATTTAACGAATTTATTCGACTTGAATTTATTATGATTGTCATACAATACAATTAATTTCATCAGTATCATTTCCACGCGACTGGATCCCTCAGCGAAATTACGTGACAATTTCTAATGGCGAAACAACAATTTTCCATCGGCGATGAAGATACCAGCAGGCAGATGCATGAACAGACAAGGCCATCCCGATAGCATGGAACGTTACAAGCATCGAAGCGAAGCGAAAGATTCGGGATGTTTTGTACCGGAAACGACAGCGTCCCTATCACATTGACAGTCCAGTGAAGACTAGACATTGAATAGGAACTTTTATTTTGTTCTAGTAAACAGACGTTCGTCGTTGTCTTGAATCCAACGCGACTGAATTGTTCACGGTCGAATAATGGGACGTAGAAGCAACCAACGATAACGTCGTGGACGGAAAGGAGCAAATAAAAAAAATGTGTTCCTGTGCTTGACAGCAATGATACGATACACAGCCCGTCGAACTCGACCCTATGCTCTGTGAGAACGTACAGATGTTTCGAGTAACTGGAAACGGCCGTTCCGACGATTTCAGCTCGGATAATGTATTCGCGATTAGGTCGATGGAAGGAAAATAGGTTGGATAATTCGCGTCGTTCTTCCGTAGAGTATAAACTCGCGGACGGGAATGGTTGACGATTGCCTATTTTCTGGATAAATCGAGCGACGTAAGCCGCGGGTAGAGAAAATTCGATCTTTTAACCCTAAATTGATTTCTGCTGACAAGGTAACTTCTTGATCTGCTATCCACGGATTAGTATCGAAGGTCACATGCGAGGCTATTTCTGGGCGTGGAAATCCCACCGTAACAATCTCATCTGACTTATAGAGTATCCAGGAAGCAATTTACCTTCCAATTTTGAGCATTGTAAATTTTACATTATACCCGATGTTACTATAGAAGACATTTAGCCAAATTCAATATACAAACCAATATACAAAATATTCTGAAAAAAATTGTTCGCAAAAAATGTTCGTAACTTTCTTAAGAAACAATTATCGAAGTTACATCATGCCCTGATTATTTCCTACCATTTTTGTTACTATAGAAATAAACAATACGCTTTCAAATTTAATCAGAAATAATTCGGATCCATTCTATGAATATCTTTGTTCTGTATTTAGTTATCTCTGTCGCTAAATCTATCGAAAAAGATTTCCCCTGCGCAACGGCTTCAGTCGACCAATCGACGTTGCATTCATCTCGGCAGAAGTCACGCGCGCGTGTGTACGTGACTGTTTCGTAAGCTCCTACCTTAAATGTTGACGCAGGCCTCGATCCCTCAGCGGTAGACGACGTGCATCATTATCGTCGCCACTGACGTCCTCCCCAGACAGCGCGACGCAGGTCCAGGACGTCGCTGTACGTGATCGAACAACGATGGATCCAGCGTGGCTCGACGTTTACGGTCGACGGCGAGGATTAAAACATGCGTTCCTCGAACGAGCTGTCCTGGAAACCAAAATATGAATTTCTCTTTATTTATATTGTATTGAAATTTCGGGGGATCGATAATAGGTGAATGTTCAAATAATTTGATAAGAGATTTTGATAATTTTGAAATTTACTAATACTTTCGTGAACTTGTAAATCGATAATTTCACCATTTTTTAAATAATTTTACAAATTCTTCAATTGTATAACTCTCTCAACAATTCTTTAGTTCGTCAAGAATTTAAATAATGATATTAGCCATCTGAAGGCTTGATAGAAAGATCGGAGTAGTAACGAAATGGAAGGTGTACAAATACATTTGAAAAGAAATAACATTCCTCTTTAAAGAATTCTAATTTAATATTAATATTTTTACAGTTCAACGGTACCATTGATTCTTGTGTAATACTTCAATGAACAACAATTTCCAAAGAGGCTGCATATATTCTTGGAAAGCATGAGAGAATAATTACTCATTTCCTTTTGAATCTTTAGAACCATTATTCTTACCCTTACACTCTTCACACTTTCCTTAAGTATTCTTTTCTGCTATTCATTATTACTAGACTGCGGATCTTTATGCAAAAATCGAACCTAAATAGGAAATAATTTTACTCTGCATATATTATAATATGAACTTTACTCTCAACCTTTTTTATATTCTTGCATATCGTTTGCATGTTGTAGTTTCTTGCAGATTCAAATTTTCTATAAATGCATAAAGATCCGCAGTCTAATAATCACAATATTCTCCAGAAAATATACAGCTCCACTCCTAGATAAAGTGGCATATCATCGGCAGACATTCTCTCTCGATCTTTACCCTACCACTCCCAATCGAAACGCCGAAAAACACCATCCTTCCTCTTTTCGTAAATTAAATTCACCAGATAACCAACCATCCACTCGCGTGATTTCCAAGCCAGTGAAGACAGTTTCCCGACGTCATTGGATCGCGAGTGGTTAACGGAGGCCCCCCAGGAGTCGGGGCAGTGACCAGCGCGGCGTTATCATCGCTTTAGCCGCGGCCGCGCATTATCGGCCGAGACACCTGCCGGAAATACCATTAGCGGCCATTTATTTCTAACGAATACCGAATCACGACGGCCGATAATCCGGTGTCGGGCGCGTTTTAGCCAAGCTGAAAGTACCAGCGAGCGGCGCGGCCTCGTTTTTCGCTGGGAGCACCGAACAGGACGCCTCGGGGTGGATTTAGTATCCGGGGTAGGGGGTTGATCCGGGACCGTCAGGCTTTGGAACGAACGACGCTGAAAGGGACGGAGTAAGAGGTGTGATAGCGGGTATTAGAGTCTCGCCCGATGGTCTGTCGGTAGTTCGTGTACTTTCGGTGGCGTCCGCCTCTCTGGGGTGCCAGAACTCTGGGCCGCGGTCAGTTTATCGCGCGACGAAGGGGGTGAGCTTCGACTCCGCGCAAACTACCACCGTTTTATAGCGGTTTTAGGACCTTCGGGGTACCAAGCGCTAACCGCGTCGCAAGAGGAGCCTTTGCTAATAGTTGTCTCTCCCAAGAAGAGCTCGCGGTGCGACAAGCAACGCACGGTTTTTAATGAGCTTCTGCGTTAAGAGAGTACTTGCAGTAGCGGGGACCAATTACGCTGACGTTGCGAGTCCAGAAATGGTTGCATTAAGTCCGATTTCTGCAGATCCTGACTTTTTAATGGGCGAAGGTTTAGTTTAATTTTAAGATTGGAAATCTTTTTATTTTCGAACAGTCGAAATTCGTGTCTCGTTATATGGTGAAACATGCTGTGAGGCGATGAAATGGGTAAGAAGTAAGAAAATAAATATGTTCTGTTATACAGTTTGAAAAAAACAGCAAATAAAGAAGAGAACGCCCAGTGTGATATTTCAGCGATCTAGCGGGACAAAACTTACGTGGTCCAATATTTCGGAACCTATTAGGTCATCCACACACGAAATTACTCAAAAGAAATGTAACTGATTATAAGAATAAATTCCATCACTTCGAATACTTTTACTTTACCTTTGGTTTAAATCTTTCATATGTTACTGAACATCCAAGGTTTGATTTATATTAAGATACACAGTTTGCAACATCATTATAATTAAATATAACTATTGTACTTGTCAAAGGAGTATTTCACTTCTTTTATCAAGCTGCATAATTAATATTTTGCAGTACATTAATTAAGGTCCACATTAAAGTGAATGAAAATTGTTAATACTATAGAACGAAGTGGAGAGGTACTTTTGTGACTATATGTACATATCATTGTAATCCGATTAATATAATATTAAATTTCCGGTACCGTGCGGTTTACCCGAATGTTCTGTTAAATCCAATAAATTATTCCTCCTAATACTTTATTAATTGTTCGCGCAGAACAAACAAATTTACATGTAATTTTGTAATTTGGTTATTTGTTTCTCTTCCGAGTTTAATGTTTAACCTTTCAATTGCGAATCCCTGCACTTCGCGTTAACTAACTGGAAGCCAACTTGCGAGATACCGAGGTGGTCGTCATCCTTGCATGCTTAATTTGTGCAGCAACAGGTTTAGGTGCTTAGAACCAAAAAGTCAAGTAGGTACGAGTTAGGCGAACTAGGTAGTCGAGGTTCAAGTACACAACGAATTGCTATCATCGATAGACTTTACGTCAATGTCATTGTCGAAATTTTTATATTTTTAAGATTGAAAATCTTTTTATTTTCGAACAGCCGAAATTCATGTCACGTTTTATGGTGAAAAATGCAGTGAGGCGACGAAATGGGTACGTAGTATTATTCGTAGCCTATAATTTCCTTGTTAAATCAAATAGCGATGAATCGCGGTTTCTAGTCAAACGATCATTCGTTTCGATGACAACGAGAAGCTTTCTCATTCCAAGACGATGAAACAATAGATCTTGGCACCTCGTCTTTAATATTTTAATTAATATTCGTCGCCAATATTTAACATTCAAAGAGCGTGCTAATTGATTCGCCGCGATGTAAAATCGCCAATAGCCGGACTTCGGAGCAGATGGAAGCCAACTTCTTCTAATTCTCTTTTTCCCCCTCTGACTGTCCGTAGATTAAGGAAATCATCCTCTCGAGATGAAGTATTTGCGCGAGGGCCGGCGGGTTAGGTGGCTGGGAATTTTTGTAGGCCATTAAGCCGGGACCGAATTGAATCCGATAAGAGGATAAAGAAAAATTTGTGACTGAGTTAATGAAGGGAAAGGGAGGATGGGATGGGATAGAATCACTGCAGAGCGAGGAACAGGTCTCTCGATGTCACAGTTTCGATGGAAGGGCGTTATGTTACTCGTTTCTCGCGCCACGAGGTAGAAATTGTCTTTTACAGTTTTCTTATAGGCATCTACATGGGAAAGCTTAATATTTTAAGGGGCCAGAAGTACCTAGCTAGAGAAAATAAACTTAATAGAGGGAAAGAAATTAATATCTCTCTAAACAGAGTCCCTTATTTGTCAACAGCAGTAGAGTGTTGGAACTTAACGGGAAGCGTACCTGTCAGGAATAATAAAAATTGAGAATAATGATCTAGGAACCCTTTGTCTGAGATACAGACATCTCCATAAAAATATTGTTATATTATAAAAAAGAAATACTTTAATTGACTTTTTCTTCAGTACTTTCACTCTCCTTAACACTAAACCTACCGACGATCATTTATAACTATTTCTATTGTGATGGGACAAGTGAATAGTCTCAGAGACACTTTTTTCAATTAAATGCGAAAATATTTCACGTGAACCTAAATCGAATAAGAATTAAGAATTATATAAAAAAATTTGAAAACCTCGTAAGTTTAGTGTTGATACTTCAAATCATTAACTTCCACGATCGTAAAACCATTGTACCAACTCGCAACATTTCTTGACATATTAAATTACCCACTCTACTATAAAACTATTTACCTTCTACCATTTTAACGTCCCGTAGGAAAGAGCAAACGGGACGAAGTTCCAACCAGAGTCACAGGATACGCGACGGGACCTTATGTAACGCGTTACGATCGTGGATGTATTTCTGGCATGCGTAGCAGCGGACGACAAAGGTGACCCTGTTAACGACCTTTCTTAATCCGACGATCTTACGCTCCGTCGAGCGAGGGTTATCACGCTCGATGAACTAATGAATTTTAATAATCGCGAGTGACGAACAAAGGGCCGACAGGGTCGCGTCGAGATCGAACGTTTCTCCTATTCCGTCGAGAACGTGACGGGAGTGTCGAAGCTGCGAGGGAATTTGAAAGGGAAACTTGGCGAGAGGAAACTCGAAGGAACTCCAGACGGATGAAGTAGAGAAACGTATTCTTCCGACAGAGCTGGGTATAATTTACAGAGAAAGTACCTCAAATACTATTTTTAATAATAGTTGGTAAATAAAGTGTTAAGTGTAGGAATGAATCCTGCGTGATTGCATTTAATTATTTGTAGGGCTAGTTTATACTGAAATATTTAATCACCACATCGTTAAGTTGAAGTACTATCCTCCATAGTGTGGAAGCGTGGGTAAAGTCATAGACAAAATGTAAGAACTTCTTCCAAAATTTAAATTCATTTAAATTTAAATTTTTGAACTCTATATGCACTTGATAACCATGGCTCATATTTTACAACAAACCCTGTTGCATAATTTAAATTTATACTAGTTTTTTTTTTAGTTTAGAGTCGTTATAACCAGATGTATAGACTATTCTCTTCTATTACGATCGCAATAGATATACAAACATTGATAATAAAATGAAATCGTATATTAAAAGTGTACACAATATATATGCAACTTCTGAGTCGCGCTACCAGATAATTAATAAACTTCGCTAATAAGTATCCCGCAAGGATTTCCGGAACTCAGCGTTTACTCTCTACAAAAACAACTCCTCCCTATTTCTAAAATATCTCGTCGATAAATTCATGGAAACAAAGGTCACGTTTATATCCGAGCCAGCATCGTGGAACATTTTCATTTCCGTGGAGTCGAAAGGAAGAAATCAGCCCAGGGAGCTGTCGACTTGTCAGACGTCGCGACGAACTTCCTTTCATCGCTACTGTGCATTTGCATCGCCTTTAGAAGAAACCGAGGGAACTATCCGAAGAACTTTCATTGTCGGACTCCGACGAAGTCGAGATCGAAACTTTTCTCCGTCTCCGACGAATGGTTTTAGCGCCACCGGATGAGATTGGCGGGGAGAGACAGCGGCCAGACTTAATCGCAGGGTTGGAGGTTGGCCCCCAACCCCTCTGCAAGAAACGAAACAAAACGGTGGATCGTTCACCTAACCAACCTCGATTTTCGTCAAACGAAACGCAGTCCCTCTGTTCTGTCTGACACGAATGAACAATCGAACCGTTCACTGCACGAATCGATTAACTCCACTTTTTTGAGAAATCTGAAATTTTAGTGCAAAGCACTTGGTATAGCGATGACTAGACTGCGGATCTTTATGCAAAATACAAGCTTCGCGCACGCGTCTACAAAAATTGAACCTAAATAGGAATTTATTTTATTCTGAAAATATTATAACATGAACTTTACATTCAATCTGTTTTATAATCTTGCACATTGTTTGCACTTTGTAGTATCTTGCACATTCAAAGTCTAGTAATGACTTTTTATATTTATATTAATTTTCTCGAAAAAGAAAAAACTTTTTTCGATGTTTATTTGAATTCGTGTTACAAAGGAAATTTAAAAAAAAAAAAAAACAATGTACGTTATTTCATCGCATTTCTCAACTTTTTGTTTTATAGAGTTAATTCGTAATAATTTGTGAAATAAATGGCTCAATTACGAGAGAGGTGGACGTTTCTAAAGCTCGGGGTCTCTTTAAATTACAGTAACACCTCTTGCAACCGCGAAAACTGAACAGTAAGAATTGCACTGTGGACGGAAAACTCTGCAAACTTTCACTCCAACTGGCGAGCGCAAACAACGATTAGGTCGCAACGTATTGTCGTTCCGTGGCTGGGGAACTCGTCGGCGATCGGTGAAAAGCCGCAACGTTAAGCGAATGACCGCGTTGTTTCCGTAATGGGAAAACTCTGGACCGCGTCGATTCGATGGATGCCGTTGCAGCAACGCGAGAGATCGTCCGCGATCTCTCGTTTCAAATCCCAGGCGTCCGTGGCCTCCAAGAAAGAAGGTGATTCGCATTACATCGACCGGAGGGGGGAGGGGCTGTGTGGGTCGTAATACTGTCATCGTGTTACACGGACTCGAGTTGCTGTTGGCTGCTGGTCGAGGACAAGTGCCTTTGGTGGTCTCCCAACTATCGATATTCGTCGATCCACGGTTTCAAAATGTGTGTTAAAAAGAAACGATCTTTGATTCAGGCGTGCGATATTTAACCGTTTGAGTCCCAGGGGGTATTGAAAAAAACACTGTAGAAGAATCACAAACAGTGCAACCCTGCTTTCTCTAAACGAGTACTGGATTTTCTCGACATAAAGTCTGAACAATGCGATCGCGCTGCTTGGGACTCAAACGGTTAGAATCCGAGAAATGCCAGAAAACTTGATTTCTCAAACAATTTTACAACGATACGCTTCCATAAATGACTTTACGGTAGGGCAAAGTCTGAGAAATACCGCAAGAGAGGACCAAATGCATTGCACGTAAGCTTTCAAATCACATATTTATTTTTACATCCTGAGCCGATCCTGAGGGACCGATGGTCCTGTGCGACTGTAAATACTCGAAGCAACGTTTCTAACGACGATCCAAGGTGGTTACTCGAAGCGAGTAATCGGTGCTTTCCCGTGCGTTACGTCGAACTCCGGGACGACGTCGTTGCGGTCGCCGTCGTCCTAGGAGCTTTACAGATCGTCGACGATCAGGCAAACGAGAAAAAGAGAGTGCACGGATTGAGGTCGGGTTAACGTCGTTCGAAAGAAGCGGTAATTGCTTGATTCTCCTAGCTCCAGCGATCTAGTAACGAGCCGAGGAACCGCGGCGAGTGGCCTGTTTCGTCGATTAATCTCCCAGAGATGAAAGTTGGCCGGTGATTACTTTGTAATTACTTTTGTAATAATCATTCGTAATTGTCGGATTAGTCGGTGGACTCGCGGGTATTTATGCATTCATGGCAAGTGTACATACAGGATTTGAAAATGTACAAGGATGTGTACTAATGCATGTATATGTAAAGAATGAAATTTAGATGGCAAAACATAATTTAATTCAAGTTTCTGCTCTTCATCGGTGTATATGAAAATATGAATTTGCATAAACATTCGTAGTCTTTAGATTGGATGATATTAATTGGGCCTATATTAATGAGGCTCAAAGTGTTCCTTTATTCTTCGTAATTTTTCTTGATTCGTATTAATGCATTGCCAAATGTATATGTTAGCTATAAACATTAATTCTATATCTTTCTAAAACGATTTCATGATTTATTTAAGAAAAAAGCAGGCAAATTTGAATCTTTCCCGAGTCACACACTTTCGGAGAGCCCATAGTGTTGCGCAATCAAATTTCGAAGTTGTCAACTATAAGCTACAATCATAAATAATTAAATCCAAAGGCATAGAATTTATTTTTATATCTAATATTTCAAATTACTATAACGACTTAAGAATCTACTAATTATTTTGCTTGTTCTGTTCCAAAGATCCGTAAAGAATTTCATTCATCCCAGTCTTCGAAATATATTTAAAATTAATGAAGAAAAATAATTGAATAACGACAATAATAATAATTTAATTATAACTTAAATTCGTAACCTCCAAACGGGAATCAGTAATTTGTGATCTTTCAGGTTTAATCATACCCAATTGCTCGTTAATTGTTCCCATTGATTTCTACCTGCTCGATAACCATAATCGTGGATTACGTTTTGCCGAACGCCGCTGGAAACGGAGACTTTTTAATAAAGAACCAGAGCATGCCCCTTTTGGACCGAGAACAGTCGAGAAAAATTCAATTTGCCTGCCAACAAGGATCTACGTATCGGTCGATCGACGAAGAGAGCTGGGTATTCGGTGGCTCGTGGAATTTAGATTCCGTAACGTGGCTGCGATCAAAGGAGCATCGAGGAACGATTTGCGCGGCGAGAAACGAAATTTTTGAAACGCGATTCCGACGTTCCGTTCACGCCAATTCGATTTTTCTTTTGACGAACGATCTAGTCGTAACGGAATCGTTTATTAAATAATGGTGTCAATCGTCTGATTGCTTGAATACAATCGATTTGATATACATATAATGATACATAATGTATAATATTATACAGTCAGTTTGATAAGTATTCGTATCCTCTATGACTATCGAAGAAATTCGTCTAATTAATTGAATAGATTCGATGCTTACAAATTCAGTATCCTCTATTAACATTGTTTCCTTTAAGATCCAATTAGTTACATATTTCGGAGCCTTGAAATATTTTGCTGCTGGATGTTGGCATGTTCTAACCCAAATATCGAAAATCGGGAACAATGGAAAACTATTCGAACGAGTCATGCGAACCGTTCACCGACTTCCACTGAGAGCAACGTCCTCCCCCGCGGAGGACAACTGCGAATTCAATTTGTCGGGCGACCGAATCCCAACATCGAACCTTTTGAAAATGTAGAAGAGGATCAATCCCATGAACGATGAAACGATCGATCGCTAGAAATTAATCCCGAGCTCGATGGAGGCCTTCGTTGTCTCAGGACGAAATCAAAGGATGTTTGTGACTGAAAGATTACTAGTCGATTAGAAATATAGCAAGGTAATAATGGAAATAGAACAATGTATCTAAATTATTGTCGAGACGTATTCCATATCATTCTGGAACGACGTCGAATGTAACTGGGTTAATGGAGTCGCAAGATCGAGTTATCGAGTATGTTTCTTCGTCGAAGGAACGAAATGATATGCCGTTTGGAAGCGTTGACCTTTAGTATTTTATTCTTACTCCGATCGCTAAGGTTGATCCGGTTGATCAGGTCTCTCTGTGTAGCGATGACATTTGAAATTGAATCCACTCTGTCGACTATAGGTCGTCGGCAAGAATTGAAAATCTGCAGTATTGAGAAGCAATGAAAATGTGGTTGAGGAATAAATAAAAGTGAATCTAAGATCCTCGTAGCGAACCTGATGGAACGAACATAACATTGGACGAGTGGTTCGTTGTATTTTATAAATAATTGAAGTTAAGCAACGGTGCTACGACCGAAGTATGTGAAATTAAATTTACTAATAAGAAGATTATGATTGATAGCGTGGAAAGCTTTATAACCACTTGATAACCATGGCTCATTTTCTACGACAAACACTGTCGATACAGTGATTGATTGGTCACGGTTGATCAATCATGGGGCAATTCAGGTTGCTTATTAGCACTGGAAAAAATTAATGAGAAATGGTGAAGTGTCATCGATGCTGAAATCTCTTCGATGAGGATACTCCAAAGGATAGTGGATATTACATTGACAATGCATTTGTGCAATATGTACATTGCTCCAATTTATGGAAATGTAATTTCTCCAATGTAATTTAATAGAGAGATTTTAGATTAGAAAATCTTAGGCAACAAGAATCGATTATTTGACTCAGAAAAAAGAGTAGTTTCTTAAAATTGAGTTTGTTTGATAAATCTGGTTCCTGGAAAGAGGGAAAGGGTTGTTGTCACAAAGTATTAAGACTTACAAAAGTACATTTTCTAAGAAATACTAAATTTCCTGATATCCTACAAGTCACCACATCAAACTTCACTTACTACAATATTCTCAAAGGGTTCCAAATGTGGTTCAGGAAACGTTTCCCGACAAGCGACCAAATTCCAAAAGAAGCGTTCCAAAAGAGGACCGATGAAGACGTCCCTTGTCCGTAGAGCGTCGAAACGGGTCTCCTCGATGGTCTTGGGTTCGTCAGGATCTTTCTGGCGGGACAAGAAATCCGAGAACGAAAAATTCAATCTGTCGAGCACCGTGGAATCGACTTCTCCATGACTGGGTTAGAGCGGCGCGAGTTACGGGACGGAATTTCGACGCGTGAAATTGAAACCCCGACATAGTCGCACCTCGTAGTCGACGAGGCAGCCCCTGTCGCTCACCCAGATGTCCGTTTTATTCGCAGGCGCCGATGGACGTCGAGAAACGTGTTTAAAAGAGCGAATAACCGAGTCCGAGCACATCGAAATTATCAGAATCGGAGGAAACCTCGTTTACGGCGTAGTGATCTCGATCACCAGAGAATCGTAGTGAATCATAGCGAATCAGGGAAGGAATAAACATCGGGGTAGTCGTAAAAGCGTCGCGCTTGTCCCCGTGAGAATTTCCAATTTCTTTCTTTCATCGGCTTTTTAGGACTTTCCATCGGGAGAGGGAAACTTTCGAGCGAACGACGAGTCACTTCGTCTTCGAAATACGTTTTTCTAAAATACCACATACATACGGGGTGAAAGTGGCACTTCTTCCTGGTTCCATTTTTGGGATTCTTTTTAGCTTGAAATCTTGTTTGCTGGGGTGCTGATCTTCGATAATATTAAACATGTTAAATTGCTTCGTTGTAAGATTTCTTTTGGAAATTAATTTCGAGGATGTGGATGAAAGTATCGAATTTGTCGAGTACAGAATGTTTGTATGTATCTTGAAGAGTAGGACAAAATTTTATTTATGTGATAAGAATCAGGCTGGATACCTTTCTTCACAATTAATGGTATACCTGTAATTCTATGTAGAATGAATCTGTGAAAAAGGAAATTTCATGTTGATATTCATATTTTGTGACCACTAGATTATTATTACTATTATAAACTATTATAGACTTCTTGTAGATACATGTATACAACATAGTCAAGCTTAAATAAACAAATAAAGTCGTCGATCAGTAATTATTAATAAATAAAGGTTATCTTAAGGAAGAATTAATTAAACTCCTTGGTAAATGAATATGATAACAGAGTGTCAGAGAGAATAAAATATAACATTACTTAATGTATGGTTCATTTCAATTAAATAAGATTGTTGTCTATAAAAATTGTATGCACAAAGCCATTTACGTCTAATTCCACTTAAAACCTGCAGAATCCGATCAGGTGCATGCCATTTGTGATAAATTGCACTCCTCAAAACTAAACGATCGTCACGAGTGTCTATCGCACTCTACTATTACCAACGAGGAAATTTCGATGTAACTTCGCGCAAATATCCATTTACCCAGTCTAATCTGTCTAATCTGGTGAAGTCTGAGACGCGGTGATAACAAGACGAGACAACTACTCATGCGGCTAGATACACATTGTAGTTGGTGAAGTAAATTTTCGAAAATCGAATCACCTAGCAAGCTCAGTCTTCAATTTGTCTCTCTATTGGACATATTTGACAGCGCTACACATTCTTGTTTGGAAAATACCAAAGGGAACGAGTGTATGTCGATAAGTCACGGAGGATCCGCCAACTTAGAGACAACGTTCGGGAAAAAGCTTCGAAGCTGGAGAGATTAAAAGTCATTGCTCGACGTACTTTTTCATGCATAGTATGAGCAAGCTTTCATTTCATATTTTATCATACGAAAGTGAAAAGGGGTATAAATGGAGAACTAAACGTTCGTTGGAATTTTAAAGTCGACTTTAAAGAGGAATTCTTAATCGTAGGAAACAGGTACATAATTTACGCGTGAGAACAAGAATGCATTTCAAAATTTCTTTCAAAAGAGGAAATATACCCGCACTACGAACCTTTCGTTTATCATTTCAAACGTCGAGGTCATGGCGGAAATTAATTATTTATTTTTAATTGATATAGGCACATTTAGCCTCTAGACAACAGAACGTTCATTTAATTTCTCCTCCCACAGGTTAATTAACCATGGCTCTCCAGAGAGGCATTATTTCCCATTCGAAATACTCCTTTTAAATTCTTCCGAAATAGCGAAATGCCCCAGCATTGGTGCCTCGCGAACCTCTCATTTATTATTATATACCGCTGTGATTTTCACCCGAATTTATTAATGTCGTTTCAATCGGTACAAACCATAACTTTCGCAAGACAAAGCGTTCGTTTAAATTCTTTTCTGGCGGCTTAATTAAGCATGCCACTCGAGGGAAGCATTCCTCCTCATTAAAGATACTCCTGAATTTTTCAAAGAAGGAATGCCTCAACCCAAATCGCCGTGAAACTTTAATTTATTATTCGAAACGCGGCGGCTATGACAAATGTCTTAACTTTAAATGAAATGATCTATAACTGTGGCATCAAGATACCTCTGTGACGATAATTAAAATTAATGTTTAATATTATTCGAAGCGTGCTGGCTACGACACAAAGGCCTTTAAATGTCTGTTAAATTTATGTAGACTGTGACATTTAGATAATCATGGATAACCTGACTTCCAGTAAGTACACCAACACTAATCCTTATGAAACTGTAATTTATTATTTGAAGCCCGATGACACAATGCCTCAAATTCGTTTAAATTAACATAGACCATACCTTTGACACCTAAATAATCACTAACGATCTGACTACCGACGAGCATCCCTTCCCGTTAAAAATACTCTCTCAATGGTTATCGAAAAAAGAACTGCACCAAGTACAAGTCACTAGTTTGTTGTAACGGCGGCTGTGGCCCAAGAATCTCGCATGACGTCCAGGCGTCGAGGAGCAACAAGAGAATCGGGTGCACTGTTCGACGTCCAGTCGCTCAGCCTGTTGACAAGTATCATTCGCGGAATGCTCGAGCGTCGGTGAACGCTACAATCCTCGGGAACTCGGGATCCGGAGGCAAACAGGATAATCCGTGGAGCAAGTACACGAGCATAGAAGTCGTGTTTGCTTCCTGGCTTCCCAAACCACGAGTAACGAGAAGCTGGGTCGAACAGGACCGAAGATCCCTTTCTCCATTCACGTGCTCTAGACTCTCGAGTAATCCACGGCACTGTGCATTCGACACCCTGGTTCGAGAGATCGACGAACGACGTGGGAAGGAAAGGATGCTGGAGGAATGAGTCCTGGCGATCGTTCATCGCGTGAAGGTTATGGCGCTCACGATTCGACACTTTATCAGACTTATTTAAATTTATTCGAATAATTTGGAATCGACCCTGTGAGCTGTTGTTCGCAAAATTCTGTAATTTTTGAATGAAACACGGGACCATATTCTGTGTTAATATTTGTTTATCGAATGCTTTTGTGACAGGGAACATTGTAATTCGTGTTTATAGTCCCTGGGCATTTATTCGGTATCAAAACGTTTTCGACCCTCTGTAAGCTCACTTTAGTAGATTTGTTCTTTAGTGATTGCATACCAGTTTATTCATATAAATAATAGAAGTTTCTATTTTTACTAGGTATGCAAATGTATAGTTTTACAGATTCAGATAAAGAATTGAAATTGAAATGAAAGTATGTGTTATCTTCCAAACAGGGTTATTTTTGGAATCGTACACATTGTCGTACATTTTTCCAGATTTTCACTTGTCAAAAATCCATAAGCATTTAATTATTACCAAGTCATAGAAATTCGTATTACCAATTCATGTAAATACTTTACGTCTACTGTTACCACAAAACAAAACTACCAAAGAGAACTTACAAAAGGTCATTGACCGAATAAAAATCCAACGACTAAAACCACAAACATTTACTTCCTACATTATCCCGTCTTGCAGCTGTCGAGATTAAGAAGCCTGCGAATAAGCTTTACAAAATTGTGCCAACGATCCCCGAACCATCGAGCCCGAGCAACAAGTTACACACCAATGACAAGCGTAAAGGACTGCGTTTCTCTCGCGCCGATCGCAGGGAAATCTGCCCAAGAAACGATCTCGATGGACACCGACGCGTAAACATCGAATCCAACGGACAAATCGATCCCAAGGATCGTTCCAAGAATCGACGTGTCACCGGGCGACGATATAGAGCGAAACGTGTTCCAGAAATAAAAGGCAGACAAACTTTTCACTGACGAACCGGCGTGGACGCAACCGTTGCGTTAGGTATGAATCCAGTCGAAATCCTGGAAACGTGACGGACGACCGTGGACAGTCGAGATTGTTCAAGCACGAGACACGAACATTCACTGATCGCGGGGTGGTAAACACGAACTCCGGCTATCGGTGTCCGGTCGAATCGAACGGAAACCGCGCGATCTTCTGGAGCGACCCGGTGGTCCGGAGTACCGTGCCAGTACTGGTACTCTGGAGTTTGTTATCGAGTAGCGGCGAGAGGGAACAGCGGGCAGGGTGGTGGCAGCTCCTCTTGGCTGACAAGTAGACAGAGTCGGTATCACGCAGGCGCTGGATAACAGTTCGCCTCGCGATCACCTACGTCCACCCCCTTGACAACCTCTCTGAATCGGAGTGTTCTGTACCAGAGATTCTCAACGGGGACCATGTGCCATTCCTTTGGAAACTATTTCTTTATTATATTAAATAATTCATGATAAAGGGAAATCAGCATTCTTGAATGGGTATGTTCTGTATTAGAGATTTTCTATGACGACCATGTACCCTCCTCTTCTTCCAGTAGACCCAGATGATGGGTATTGGATGAGATTGGTCCAATGGTGAACATTTATCTAAAGAGCATTTTTTTACTACATAAATAATTCATGGTAAAGGGAAATCACTATTAATAATTAATATTTAATGTTTCACAACAATCGGTTTGAAAGATCAGTTGAACAATCAGTTCATTATCATGGACTATGTCTAATGTCCAATGTTTTATTCCTTCTAATTAATTCTTTTAATTCATAATTGTTCTCTCATAGTCTCGCAAAACTATTTTATAACGTGCAGAATATATTCCAGCTTGGCTGCTAAAATCAGAATTCATAGAACCAATATACAGGAATTTATATTAAAGTATCCATTTCCACTATAATGCTCGTGGCATACTCCCAACTATAATAATTTTACACAGAAATTTCGGGTATTTGAATCAACGTTCTTAAAAATTCCTGAAACTATGCAACGACGCACGAAAGAGGTCTTGTGCAAAAGAAAATTCATAAAAGTAATTAAAAGTAAAGTAACCGTGAACTTGCAGGTATAATAGTTGCGTTGAAAAATCAACCTACAAAATTTACAGACTTCGCGAACACGCAAGAGTTGGAAAGATTGAAAATCTAACTAAACTAACTGATCGCGAACCGCCACCTGCTGTACCATACTTAATGATTTTCCGCGACAGGCTATTCTTTTTATTATCAGGAAACTCATTCATTGCTTCGTGACGCACTAAGACCCAATTGTAACGGAACATTTTTTTGTTACTACAGTAAAACCTTATACGCACAAATTTTTATAACGATAAATGCACGGAAACCATCCTCACTGCGGACCACTAATACCAGCTACGGCTCCTGAATGTTGTCCCTGCTAATCTAAATCTAATTTCACTTTACCCTTTACACTTTACACTTTACACTTTTGACTTTACATTTTACACGTTTGCACTTTACACTTTACACTGTGCACTTTTTGTATCTAAGAGGAATGGGAGTTACTGACATTTCGATTTTACGTGATGACAATTGTTAACATCACAAAACTTTCGAGAACGTTTTGTTGTTACGGTTAATGTGCTCCACCCTGTATACATAGAGCAAGTTAGCTATCGCGCGACGTTACTCGAGAGCCGATAACCCGAGCTGCGACTATATAGGATCATAATTATGGCAATACGCAGACATTGGTGTGTGAATGTGGCGGAGAGCAAACCGAAGATATTTGTGCTGCATTCTCTCAATTACGTGTCTTGTAATACAGGGACCAGGTAATTACGAGAATTGAAAAAACGGATAACTTTTATTTCTGTAAATACTGATTCAAGACTTTCCTGTTCCTTTTCTATTCTTGTTCCTTTTAAATTTTATTCAAACCGGAATCTCCATTTTCAAGAATGTTGTCTACCTTCAATCAAACATTTATTATCAAATTATGATATGAAATTTTCATTTTTAACGTTTTACCATAAACATTTCCTGATTGTTTCGATCCTCGGATAGTAAAACCGTATTTCAATTTTCATCGGAACCAACTAGTAATACAGTGTTAAGAGATATCGCAAGGTAAATCGCGATCGATCTAAATTAACTCAGCCCTGGGAGCGTGTTCGATGGAACAGAAAAAGAAAAGGCCATTGGATCCTCGAAGAATTACAAGCATCGAATCAGCTCCGTCATTAGAAACCGTGCTCCTTCGATACCCCGAGGCGCACGAACCCTCGACTTTTCCATGCTTTTCCATCTTTCTTCCCGGAGCGCTCCAGGATTTGATTGGACTCGCTTTGCCAGCTGATTCGTTCGTTACGACGTAGAACGAAGGCGAACGCGACATTTCCGGGGACCTTCGGTTGAGATTTAGCTATCCGAGGCGAAGTTATGGTTTGTTTGGATGAAGGTTTGACCGTTTTTTTTTTTTATTATTAATTTCATTTTTTATAAAGCTTGAGTTGTGTTTGCTTGAATTTATTAAAACGTTTTAATTAAAATTAAAATTCATCTCGGATTTTTCCTGAAAGTGACAATACACGTTCGTGTAAGTTTTACTCGAGAAGCGAACGAATGACAAAAAATTTCGTTTGAGAGGGAATTTAATAAATTTAATACTTGAAAAATCGAGTAAATACGTGATCATCGATTTTTCAAGAGTCGCGATACTTGGCGTATATTTTTCTTTTTGCATTAAAAGTTATCGAGTGACCCATCCTAAGTTGAATTTGGTTCAGAGTCATTTTAGATCTCCTTATCCGGATACACCTTTTCACCGATTGCGATCGCTGCGCCGTTTTAAAACGTACCACGCCCTCGAAAACGGATTTCCGGTACGACGGGACGCGCGACCGTGGCTGAATATCGTTTCGGTTAACCGAAAGTTCATTATCCAGATTTTCCATTATCGGATCTCGATTATGACGGAATCTGTCAGCGGCGAGCGACGAACTGACGCCATGTAAAATCCTAGGTGGATTAATGAGACAAAACACGTCTCTACGAAGGTGTAAGAGAATGGAGAAAATATTGAAACATTTATATTATTTATCCTTCCCTTTAATATAATTTTATTTGAATCACACGTGCGTCATCTGCTATTTAAAATACAGCGGGTGATCAAATTATTATGAACACTTTTAAATTACAACATTTTTCAAGTGTGGTTAAAAGTGCAACTGAAAGTACATTCAAAGTGGTAAATTGTTTATTAGAAAATATGTTGTTATATTTTTAAGTAGATATTACCTTGATTTTAAAGCTTCGACATTTTGAAGAAAAGCACGCAATTCCCATGAATTTTTAATAATTCCTATAGATTATCCGCTGACATGAATGTCATCATTATAAATCTCCATCTTACCGTACACAATAAAGAACAAATCACTGTTGTGATCACATGAAACTATAATCAATTCATTTATTTATACGAGAAAATAAAAAAAAATCTCGAATATTATTATATTACAGAAATTACACTACCATCAAAAACATCAAACAAATACGTTTTAAAATGTTCACAATAATTCGATCATCAACTGTGTTCGAAATATTCCTTTTCCTGAGCTACACACTATGGTCGATTTGGTATTATCCATACATTTTATAAAACTGGGTTTCGTTAATAAGTTGGTCCATGGAAAATATCGTGGAAGCCCTTGAATGCATTTCGCATGACGTTCCTCTGTGTTGGTAACGTTGGCAACGCTGCTGTCGTTCCAGAATCGACATATACCGTTTCAATCTTTCCCAGCACAGTTTCCTACCCCCAGCGTAGCTCTTTTCGATCAACGTTCTTCCGCTGACGTTCTTCCTCGCGACGTTCTATACTGTTTCGTTTTGACGTGCTCAAAATTATCTCTCGATATTCCATTCATTTCCATTGTTCTATTTTCGATGTTTCCCTGGTCGATAAGGAAACTTTATTACATCCAATACGACGTAAAGCCTTGGGTGCCTTTTAATTATGTACCAGGGAGCTTGGTGAACGTTAATGTATAGGAAAATGGCACAGAATTATCGGTGAAATATTATGTAAATTACGGAAGATAGTGTTGCGTTTACACATAAAACGTCGATGAAGAATACAAAATAAAAAGACACGAGCACTTTCTAGGTCGACCCTTTTATTTGTATCCTTAACTCGACTAATCTTCCAAAATTGTTTCAACAAGCACAATTCTTGATCCTCGATTGCTCTGCTTGTCCTCTCATACATACGCTACACACATGTACGTGTGTAGCTGTCCCGTAGCTGTAATGGCAATCGTTGCAACGTCCTCCATGTTTCTTGGAAAAGATTGCGATCTCGATGAGAAAGTAGTCTCGAAGGCCTTTCTTCGGGAAACTAAGGGTTGATGAGCCCTTTCATTCGTGCAGCGATAGCCATCTTCGTGGCCGTTCTCGATGGAACCCTGAAAATTCCTCGACGAAAACAGCCAAAGTATACCTATAAGGACCCTCTCATTCAGACAAGACTAACGAGGAACGTCCGCCAATTGCAACACGTCGATCTTTTAGGTTTTCTACGCGAATGGGCCATTCGAGATTACTGAACTTCTTTTATTGTTTATTCTTGTTTCTCCGTAGTCAACTTGAAGGCCAACTAATACTACTGGTCTTGAAATTGTTTTGAGTGAAATTATAAGATTTCATCGTCAGTTTGGTCAGCTTAAGAGATATTTAATAGCTTAGTGTTCGAAACTATTCAACTCTATCTGAAACATCTTCCATAATAATATTAACCTAAACCAAGGAGCCAATAAATGATGAACCCCCTTGCATATTCTAATTCATGTAAACCAGAAAACTCTTCAAATATTTCTTTATTATCTCCAACAGTGTCCCGACACATCTACACATCAACAATTTTAATTCCCTATTACCTTTACTTCGCCTAAAAATAAATCTCAAAGACCGTTCATTTTCCACGAATTTTTCGTCCTCTCAAGTCGAATCGACGTAGAGACGAAGGAGTATAAACGCGAGACATCAAATGATTTTCGAAGGTAGCCGGAACCACGCATGGAGTCGGAAGGCTAACGATTCTCGCGCACAGCAAACGCGACTATTTGACACGATTACCGAACTCTGTCTTGAACCTCGTGGAAAGTTTTCCGCGGGGTTGCGCGGACAAAGGGATGTCTAAGACCAGGTAAGTAGACGGTTCAATGG